ACCACCACCACCACCACCACCACCACCACAACAACAACAACAACAACAACAACAACAAGCCATTTGCTGCGGCACAGCTGATTATAAAGGGATTATCTTCTCTGGCTAACAGTCAGATGGTAGACACTGCATGTCCTTGTGGAATTTATGTAATGATGGACACTGAGGTTCAATAACAGCTAAAAATAGGACTGCTTCACAGTGAAACAAATTCAAACTCCCTTTCCTCCATAAACATTTAAATGAATGGACACCCAAAGGGACAGCAAACACCGTGAAATGCAGAAACAGTGAGCGCATTTAAGGGAATGAAGAGCTATACAAAATTCCGGGCTTGCTTAAAACAAACCACAATTTACCTGCCGCCATGTCGCTTGTCTCTGAGTTAAGTAGAGCCACACAAGGTTCATATCGTCAGCCAGCTGTCAAAATGTACCAAGCCCAAAATTGAGAAATTAAAAAAATTGCCATTTCTTAATCTGTGGTATCAGCTGCATGATCTCAAGAAACATTTTGTCAAAATTTAAATTCTAAATGTTGAAAAAGGAACACCCCCCCCCCCACCACCATTATTTAGGTATAATAACAAGAACAAAAGTTTTTTTCCTTTACTGAAAAATTTCGCTCTGTGGACTTGATACACTCAGCATGTTGAAGAAATTTCATGTTGTGTATTTTGGACCCCTTGTACTGACCAACCACCCAGTATCGGGACCACAAACTGTACGCAGCCCTTTCTTGTGTGTGACATCACAATTGGTATACAGGTATCTCCAAAGATCTCCTCCCTGAAGGTCATTACTTGAAAAAAAAACCCCATTGTTTTGTCAATACTGAGCTCATTGACAAGGGAAGGGAAGTAACCATCGACAAGAGTATAGTGGCAGAACCTTTTCTTTTCTTTAAAATTTAGACTCCTGTACTTTGCAGACACTAGGGTAGGGTGAAGGTTCCCCTTTTTGTTCAAATTCATCAGTATTTCATGAACCGAACAGACTTGATTATGTGAAATTAAACACAGCTTTGACAGAAGAAGTTGGGAGTGGCTGTGTTTAAAATTTTAAACAAAATCCACATAAAAAGCATAAAGTTATGCTTTTTAGTTCTCATTCCTTCATGCATTACTTCACTTCAATTCATGAAAAAAAAATATATATTGCAAAGAAAGTTGATTGCACACCATCAGTTGCTGTGAGGTAATCAAGCAAGGAGAAAAATGCAATAAATACAAATTATTATATTGCATTTTGAGCAGGATTAAAAAAGATACTGTTTATGTCACGATCCAGTGGAATCAGGCACTCATAAACTATTGGGCATATTAAGTTATTGGTATCATCTTAAAGTCAGTTCATTGACCTTGCTTTTCAGGATAAAATACCCATCTCTCTTGAATAGATATAGAGAAATTTGCGATAGAAGGAGGTGGAGGTTGCCTGGTGTCAGAGGTAACATTAGCCGCAAAATGTCAACAAAAATTTGTGACTACCAAAGCTAGTAAAATCCTTGCAGGAATGTGTTTTTAAATAACCATTAAAGTGTTGAGCCCAAGAGAAAAACTTTTGATAAAAAATTGCTCAACGGCACAAAAAATGTTGGTTTCTTTGATTTCATTATTTTGACGACTACCTGATTTCACCACGAAACCACACATACATTTATTATCAGATCACATGGACAGATATATTATCTGTTTATGATCAGGTAAGATAAAAAAAATACTTGTGAGGTATTATGAAATGAAGTTCATCATATTTATCATAACTTTTCATAACATTGTATCAGTCTTAAAAATGGAAAATTACCGAGAAAGTTTTATTACCAAATGTGAAAATAATAATACTCACACACATTAAAAGACATATATTATTATTATTTAGATAAGTCTTGCTGAATAACATTTGGAACCAATCCCCCCACCCCCCCACAAAAAAATAAAAAAATAACCAAAACAAAACAACAACCCAACAAAACATAGCTATGAAAAAGAGTATGATCCATTAAGTTGAGAGTTTAGAGCTGTTACATTGTATCATGACCTGTAAAATCATGACTAAAACATTGTCTGACCAGCTGGTGCACAGTAGTCTTGATCTTCAGCAATAGTATATAAGAGTGCATGCGTTTGTGTATAGATGTGTGTATGTGCTTATGTGTGTGTGTGTGTGTGTGTGTGTGTGTGTGTGTGTGTGTGTGTGTGTGTGCGTGCGCGCGTGTGTGTTGGAGATCATTTGAAAACCATTCAGACAGTGCAAACTGCATAACATCTATCTAATTTATAAAGCATCATACGTTTCAAATACACATGAAATACCCTTGCAAATTTAACTTTCTTCTGGTAAAAAAAAAAGAAAATAAAAACAATCCCGGTGGGGAAACTGTTGCTTGGTCTATGCCTCAAGCCAAATATGGGCGCATGTGAGGAGGGAGAGCACTAGGCCATTCCAGGGAGGGACTCGCCAAACTTGCTCACGTGGGCTGCGTTTTTGTGAGGGAAGATAGCCTGGGAGGAATAAAAGAACGGGAAAGGCAGAATGAAATTACAAGACAAGCAGGAGGAATATTTACACAACGTCTCTGCACTCCAAGACATTGACCATGAAGAGGCGACAAGCATGGATTGGGATGCTGAGGTCTGGGTAGTGCTAGTGAGAGAGCAAGTCAGAGTGTGTACCATGCAAACGCACAGAGAGAGCGAGCGAGCGAGCGAGCGAGCGAGAGAGAGAGAGAGAGAGAGAGAGAGAGAGAGAGAGAGAGAGAGAGAGAGAGAGAGAGAGAGAGAGAGAGAGAGAGAGAGAGAGAGAGAGAGAACATACATATTTCAGAAAGTATAGGGAACCCTTCTCCCCCTCCCTTTTACACAAACAACAACCTCTCCCTCTTTACCTCCCCTCCCCCCTATCTTTCATGACCTTAAACAGATGCGAGCGCTGTACTGAAAAACTCCACCTAACCGAAACATACAACAGACTGACCTCATTGTGCACGTACTGGTCAGAGGCATAGCACCAGATGCTGATTTCCGAGTAGCTGAAGGCCAGGTTGTGCCGACACGCCCCCCCCCCCCCCAACCCTCTTTCTCTCTCTGTTTTTGTCTCTGTCTCTCTCTCTGTCTTTGTATCTCTGTCTCTCCCACCTCTCTGTCTCTTTTTCTCTCCCTCTCTCTCTGTCTCTATCTTTCTCTCTGTCTGTCTGTCTGTCTGTCTGCCTCTCCCCCCCCCCCTCTCTCTCTCCTACAACAGACTGACCTCATTGGGCACGTATTGGTCACAGGCGTAGCACGTAGCACCAAGACGCTGATATCCAAGTAGCTACGGGCCAGGTTGTGCCGACCCCCCCTCTCTCTCTCGCTCTCTCTGTCTCCCCCCCTCTTTCTCTGACTCTATGTCTCTGTCTCTCCCCCTCCCCTCTTTCTCTGACTCTATGTCTCTGTCTCTCTTCCTCTCTATCTGTCTCTGTCTTTCTGTCCGTCTGTGTGTCTCTCTCTGTCTTTCTGTTTCCTCCTCTCATTCTCTCTCTCTCTCTCTCTCTCTCTGACTCTCTGCCTCTGTCTCTCTCACCCTCTCTGTCTGTCTGTCTGTCTGCCTGTCTGTCTCTGTGTCTGTCTGTGTCTGTCTGTCTCTCTCTGTCTGTCTCTCTCTGTCTGTCTGTCTGCCTCTCTGTCTGTCTCTCTGTCTGTCTCTTTCTCTGTGTCTCTCTGTGTCTCTCTGTGTCTCTCTCTGTGTCTCTCTCTCTGTCTCTCTCTCTCTCTCAAAACAAAAAACTGACCTCATTGTGCACGTATTGGTCACAAGCGTAGCACCAGACACTGATGTCCGAGTAACTCAGGGCCAGGTTGTGTTCAGTCTCCAGCCGGTGGAAGAGCATGTGCTCCTGGACGTAGCGGCTGCACTCAACCTGCCCGTCAGGATGAAAACGATGATGATAATTTCATACGAAGGCTGATAAAATTATGATAACAACAAAACATTTGTAATAATCATAAAGGTAAATAATGAAGGTGGAAATGAATATAATGATGACAATTATGTTTAGTTTTAGTAAGCGTTCGATGGCACTTGCAACACAAATAATTAGGTCATATTATACGTGCCGAAGATTAAAGGTGTTACAAGAGAGTAATATACACAAAAAAAGAAGAAGCGAGGAAGATTGACGTTTGATAACCAAGAATCAGCAAACCACACCCGAGCACCCATCATGCACCCGCATGATTAAAAAAAGAATAACAATAACAAGAAAAATTTGAAGAAATTCTTTTTTCAAAAAGCGTCGTTTCAAAGGAGAATCACTAAGGGGTAGCACGTAGTTGTTCATACTCAGGTACCTGTTAAAAGAGATCGTGGAATTTAGTTGACAATAAACTCATTCAAACTATACAAACTTGACACTGTCGTACAATACCCGACAGCTCAGTTCATCAAACCCGTTCTCTTCGCCGTATGTTTGTTTTTCAAAATCGATCGACATTTTTTAATTTTAGTTTAGTCAAGCAGAAGCCACATTCCCAAATCTTCAGGCAGTGTGGAATTGATAACCAAAAAACAACAACCCAACAACATGACAAGCACAAAGTCCGTTGACTTTCCTTCGGAAAAAAAATGGACAAAAACAAAATTACAATGACGCAGCGTACACATGCCTTGAATGAAGCTATTGTGGTGTGGAGACAATGACTGATAATCTCCCAGGATCTATTATCTCCCCGGTATCTATTCATCCCAAGCTCACAGGATGTCCCTCAAACAAGCCACTCGCCTTGCTGCTGACAGACGCCTGTGTCACCCCGCGATACCCACGGGTAAAAGTGGAAGAAAAAAGTAAGTAAAAGTAAGTATCTATTCATCTCTTCCCGTATAACAGGAAAGCCATTGGAAAACCACCAAACTCAAACAGAAAAATGAGAAAGTGAAAACAATACCTTTGTCCATGGGGATCCTAAGAGCTTTTAAACAACACGTCAGTCGTGTCAAAATGGAATACAGCATAATAAGCTGTTTAAGATGACTCTCTCATTGTCGAGGAGAAAAAAGCTGTCATCTTAGACATGTGGTATTCTTGGACATTGTCACTCTAATATAGCAAACGCGAGAAGGGTCATGGGAAGTGGTCATTTTAATTAGTGCACGTGAGTGTCTTGGGCAGGTGGTCGTTAGAACAGGCTCGACGGTACCTGGCCTCTTGCCAGGTAAACTGGCCGACATCTAGTCAAAAGGATGTGTTTTTCTCAAGGTTAGGATAGGTTGTTTTTTTTTTTGGGGGGGGGGGGCGAGCAGAGATGACTACTCGGACTAAATGAAACCCAGAACCTTCACGAGACGGGTTATTCCGTCAACGAACTGTACAATGATAGCCAGCAGATCTTAATTAAGGGACCCCCCCCCCTTTAAATACACACACCACCACCACCAAGACCGAATGAACAAACACTGGTGGACGGGAAGTACAGAGAAAAGCTGAGTTGACGCAGAGATCTAAACACCACGTACAAAGGGCCGAGGTGGGGATTAGGGGATATCTCAAGCCACCGAGTAGGAGCAAGTATATTTGTACTTCCATCCACGTGATAAAGAATACCTGGAATAGACAGCAGGCTTTCATCCCCCCACCCCTAAAAAATCGAACACAACAACAACAAAAACAACAAACAACCCTCCTCCCCCCATCAACTTAAGAACTTCAACACTCAATAAATAAATGGTTACATACATACATAAATAAATACAAATAAAAGAATAAATGAGTAAATGTATCGAGATTCGATAAATAAATCAGAAGCAACAGAAACGTGGTTTCTTTGATGACTGTTGAGAATTCCACGGACGGGGAAAAAAATGAAAAAAGGAAAAGAAATGAAAAAAGGCTCAAGTGGGCCGCTCACTAATATAAAAGATTTTGTAGAGACAAATGCAGTTTCTTGGACACCTGAATCGACAAAAAAATATTGTTTTCACTGGAAAAAGAGAAGGCAAACGAGGTAGGGGAAGACTCAGAGCTACCTACGTGGAAAACCTTAACAGGTGGGTAAAAGGGAAAGACCAGGATAATATTGTCATTTTAATTTTTCATCATTTGTTTTGTTTTATTTTGTTCTTAGTTTGAGAGCACCAAGGCATAGAAGTGAATGGTGAACCGTGATCGGAGACGCTTGTTTCAGACCGGGCACATTATGATGACGATGATTGATAAAGCCAGGCTCACAATCGCATACCGAGTGAATCCGTGTGTTTATTCACCTGTGCTAGGGTGTAAATATTTGCCAGTGGGTTTACTTTGTGTAAAGAAGCGCACACGATAAGAGCCATTTTGTTCAGGGAAAAACAACATAAATAGGCAGAAACAATAAAGGGAAAAAAAAGTAGGAGCTACCCAGTGGCGTCACACAAACCCCCGGTGCATTTGACACTGAAATTTGTTTGTTTGAATAAAGAGAAGCGCATCGACACAATAATGGCCGTTAAGTGCTGGGAAAAAGTAAGATAGACAGAAAAAACAGAGGAAAAGTCAAGAAGTAGAACCTATCAGTGGCGACCTCCAACCACCCCCCCCCCCCAACTGAAATATGTATCTCCCAAAGAAACAAAAAGGACTAGAGAATATGCAGAGCTTAGTTCATTTTACAACACTTTGCCATTCGGCTTGGCCAAAACGTTTGGATCTAAACCGTAAAATGGGAGTACTACAATTCTCTAGCCTGACTTTACACTCTGGACTGGACCCGACTCACGTGACCATAATGAATGTAGATCGTCCAAAAATATTGGCCTGGACGAGAAAGCCACTCTGTTTTCAATCTCCACAAAAACAGCAGCTATATGGGAATCGTTTTTGTATCTCTGAGGAAATTGGAAGCATGTCGTTATTTCCACATTTCCAGGCTCCTAAGGAAATAAATAAAAGGTAACACGAAAACTGCTATCCAAATGAAGAATGAAATCTAAGACAAGACTTTAAAAAGCCGATCGGAAACCATCGGGAATAACATAACCTATCGGCTTTCGGGTCCATCCCATCCCCAAATGAAATAATATTTTAAGCACACATCGACACAAGTTATATCATTTACAAAGAAGGTGTATTCGAACCTGCCTTGCACTAGCGGGCTCAACCAGGACTCTGAAGGATTAAACAGCCCAGTAGAAAGCTGTATGCACGTTTTAGTAAGAGTTTTACGGCACTTGCAACACAATAAGGTCTTATGAGTGCCGTAGATTAAGAAAGAGTGTCTTACACAAAAAGACGGGTTAGACATAAGGATGATAGAATTTTGAAGGGAAAGAAGGAGCAAACCGCACCAGAGCACCTACCAACCATCTGCAGCAGGTGTAGTATGTATTCGATTAAATGATTTCCCCAATATGAGAGTCGAGCTCACGTTTCCTGCGAGCATGGCAAAAAGGTCTTATCGTAAGACCAAACACTCCGATGTCATGGGCCCTAGTGTCGAGTCGATAAACACACTGTACGGTATCGGCCCAAGTGGACGAGACACATGGGAGCACTCCTGGCTTTACCTGGTTTATAAACACCGTCGATCTGCACTGACTCGGGGGCTAATGAAATATCTTAGAACTTGGAACGGATGCCAATGGACTCGCTCGGCATGATCCGATCAAATCGGGTCGAGAAATTATGGTGCTGCCCAGTGCACAGCACATATCAAACTATCAAACTGACATTTGTTTCTCTTCAACAAAATAGGTTAGAGGTCCACAGGGGTTCTGCGCGCAAAGAAAGCTTCTGACCCCACAATGTCATGTGACACGTAGTAGCCTTCTGATTAGACGCTGATCACGATTTATTATCCACTGTACCAAATCGTTACAAAAAAAATCTAACTTTTTAATTTTGCAGGGCTTGGTCAAATTATGCCAAAATGGTGCACATTGTGTGCTATATAAAGAAAAATGTGATACCGCCCAATGCATACATATCAAACAAGAATTTGAAGAAATTTTCTGCAGTGTGCACTGGGTATTACGGACCCTGGGCACTGTCAATGACCCGTCAAGACGATCGTGTTCTAGACGTTTCGGCTAAACACGCAAGTGACATATTTGTTTAGAATGCCGCGATTTTTGCTGCTATTCCAAACTGCTTTTTCAATATTATCGGGCTACCACAGAGACTGCACCTATGCTCTTCATTAAGTTCCGTTTTCAAATCTATCTTACAAACCTACGACAGAGTACCCTCCTATAGACGTTGTCGCATGTTTTAAAAATAAGGTGTTAAACGCCCCCCCCCCCAATGACACGGTACACATGTATATCATTTAAGAGGCGAGTTTCGACCCTGCAATTCCGGGCTGAGAAGGATGCAACGTTGCAGCAGAAATGTCATCGGCATACGACTAAGACAGCCAAGTGCCTAACCGATACACCAAAGACGCCACAAAAATGTATTTTGGTTTCATCTTTGTGCATTTAAAATACATTTTGAGAAGCCATGGAATAATTGCTTCCTTCAATAGTGTAAGGTTACTTAAAAGGTTGGAAACCTCATACATTTTTAAGTATATGTTTGAATAAATAAAAGCGCATCGAAACGATAACGGTCATTTCAGATAGGTAAAAAAGCAAGAAATACAAACAGAAACATCAGAGGGATAGAAAAGCAGTAAGATCTACCATGAGTGGCGCCTCCTACCACACGCCATTTCTCATAGTATACAGATAAGTGAGTGGAAAACTATGACAACTCCAAGCCCTTATTTTGAATTTAAAAAAAGAAATATTTCAACCATAACCAGTAGCACGCATACACACAAATAGACACAAACACAAACACAAACACGCACATACACACACACACACACACACACACACACACACACACACACAAACACGAACATACACATACATGCACATATGCGCGCACATATTCAGGCAGCACGG